AGGTCCAAGATTGTGTCCACTGTGGGTAGGTCCTCAATTGCTGCTTTCGGTAGCTTTTTGAGGACCTCATTAAAGATTTCGTCATGTCCAGGGGCTTTTCTCCTCTTCGTCCCCTGGATGATGTCCTGGATGATCTCATTCGTGACTCGTTTGGCTTTGGTGGTCTGCCAGTTTTGGAAGTGGGCGGATACTTTATCTTATTATTTATATTTTAAATAAGTTTTTCCTCGCATAGCCGTGGAGATTTTCCAGGCGCGCGGGTCGTCCGTTGGGAGGTTTTCCAAAAGTTCTGTCCACCTTTCGTTTCTTAGGTTTGAGATGTGAATTTTGATTTCCTTGGTTAGTTTGTTTGCCTGTTTGTTAAGCTCTGAGTCGGTGAATTGTTTAGCCCTTCGTTTTAGCCAGTTACGATTTTTAATAAGAGTTTTGAGCTCAGGCGGCAGAGAAAAAGGGTTTTTGTTGGTGGTGGTTCAACTACTGGATCCCCTGTCGTATTTATGCAGTCCGGCCGTGTGAGCTCTTGCGTGGGGAGTGGGCGGGGCTTCAAATGCTTTGGCGCACACGCTGTTTGCCGCAATACGCGTTTCCAATTTGGATTAAGGGCCGTTACCTCTTCTCATTTCATTTCTAAATGTGTTTTGACCGGCTGTGAAAGCCTTCATATGCTGATAAAAAATGTGTTGTTTATATCCCAATATACTCGAAGCGCAAAATTTTCATCAATAATTTAACTATTTCCTCTTTAAATTCGGTTATTGGAATTATTAATTTGAAACGACTTGAAGGTGTGAAACAGAACAGTACTGAGTGATAAAGCTAATATGGGCCAACTTAATCCAATGTGAATATTGGAAGCGTGTTTAGTTTATCTGAGTTTTTGTAATTTAAACTCTGTGTTTCCAATAAAATTTATTAAAACTCTAATGCACTAAATGTGTAATAAATTTAGTAATGTTTGGGTAAAGTGGGATAAATTCCTTTAAACAAATTATGTTTTGCATGTTTTTTTTCGATATAGAACGGTGTACTTTTCATTAGCACTAACTGGGAGAATTGGAAATACAAGGAACATCAGTTTCTGGCTGGCTTAAAACTGTGCTTCCAATGTCCCAAAAACTTCTCCTCTTCTCATCAAAAGCGATTGTTTAATTTTCCAATTTTCCAGGCAAGTATTTCGTGGTTTTGCTCTGCTGCGTGACCGGAGTGCTGAAAGCCACTGTTTTTGGTGCCATCTACTACTTCGTATTCCTCTTCGTCATGACTTATTGGGCTTGCAACCAAACGCTTGGCAGATTCTTTGCCCGAGTCTTAGTCTCATTGACGCCCATCATATTCCTCAATATGACCATCATGTTCTGGTATCAGTTTCAGTATTTCTATGACAGCAAAGTTGTTACAGCCGACAGCGTTTGGGGCAGGTGAGCGAAGGGAAACTCCACTACTTCCACTTTTGAGTACCCGTTGGTTTCCTTGTAGGCTCTTCAATCTGATTGCTATTAAAACCTACAAAGACTGCAAGGATCCAAGAATTTTTCAGTTTCATGCCCAGACCAAATCGGTTTATGCCATACCAATTTGCTTGTTTTTCCTGTATGTGCTCAGCGTGTTGGTCAGTCGCGAAATATTGCAAGCTAAGGTGAGGATATAACTCTGTACTTCCCCCAAGCTCTGGAATATCCAATGCGCTCGATTTTAGGATGGGCTTTTCAACTTGATAGGGGCACTGTTCCGGAAGAGTAAGCCGAAGGCATGGAGAACGGCGTTTTCCAGGTTGCATGTAAGTGCGCGTCTTTTGGGAAACCTATTCGAATTGTTTGCAAATGTTTCGTTTCTTAACAGCAAAAGTATCAAGCCGATAAATTACTGGGAAAAGATCAAGACCTAATGGCTGATAAAGTGAAAAACGTTGTGGAACAAGCGTTGCAGTTCATCATCGCAGTTTCCTACTTGGTAGCTAATTTCATCATGATGGTAAGTGACAAGAAGTCTTTTTCTAATGCCATTGTCGATTCTGTGTTTAGTAGCCACAAAACTGCTTCTATTCTATTGACTATCTGAGGATGAAGATCTTAGTTAGTTATCACCAACAAGAAGTGCTTCTAGATTCCAATACATGGAAGCAGATTTTCCAGAGACTGATTTAATAAAATTAAACTTTTAGATCTGGGCTATTGTATACGTGGGCTGGAAAACGCTCATCCTGATGACGTGGGCCAATCTTGTTTGGCTTTTGCCTTTCAGGAAACAAGTGATTTTGGTCACCAGTCCTGTGGTGGTGGCTTGGGTGTGGTTCCTACTGATTACCAGCTACTTGTATTCCATGGACTTAACTGAAAAAGAACTGCCCACTAGATACAGCATATTTAACTTGAAGTCAGGCAAGTGAATTTAAGGTCTCATTTGACTGTTGAATGTTTCCCAAATTGGTTTAGGAGTGGATCGCCACAGCGACATCAAGTGGTTCCATTTGCTGGCCAAATCGCTCTTTGGGGTGATAATCTTTGTCACCATGAGGCAGTTCTTTCAAGCCAGAGCTTTGAAAAAACAGCGCGAGCAGCTGGCTGCAGCTGTTGGTGAAGCTGAGAAAAGTATGCTTTGAAGTCGGGATAAATCGGGGTTTTAACATAGAGATCTCCAGGCCTGGATGACTCTTTGACCAAGTCTCCAGTTCTAGAGCAGATCCAGGCAGTATGTGTGCGATTTTTTGCCGTTTGGTGGATATGGCTGGTAATCATCAGCATGATCTGGATGGACTTCTGGAGCACCAGCAATTTGTTCAGGATTGCATTCGTTTGTCTCGCCTTTCTCTGCATTCTAACATTTCAAGTGAGTGTCATTATTGCCCCTGCTCTGGCTGACTTACCGCATGACTTCAGATCTGCCCTTTTAACTTCTGGAAAAAATTCCTGCGCGTGTATTGGTGGATAGTGATTATTTATGCCATGGGAAACTTGTTTGCCATCTACTTATATCAGATAAGAGTTACCAGAGAGGTGATGCATAAGTATATTTCGAAGAAACTGTGAGTTTATCTACAAGTAAAATGATAGAGTTGTGGGGTATAGTTTGGGTTTTGTAGATTTAAAAGTTCCGGCTTTTTTGTTTGGCGCGACCGCAAGCAAGTGACAGCATCCCTTGCGAATCCGCTCTTCTTTCAGATTGCTGTGGTCATTCAGCAGAATTACCTGCAGCAAGATTTTGACAGAATCACTTCTCCAACTACCCAAGAGGAGCTGGAGAAGGAGCGGGAGAAGTTTGCTCAAAGGGGTCAGTACATTTGAAGTTTGTTATCTGAAAGAAGTTCTCTGAAAGAGATTGGAGAAAAGGAGTTGAATTTGTTTGCAGGTCCAAAATGGGCCAAAGTGACAAACTTCCTCACAGACACCAAGAATGTTCTTTTCCAAATCCTGGAAGTGCATCTGCAGAAAATCACACTGTTGGTTGGCTGGTGCATGTGCGTTTTTGACATGTGCGCCTTATATGTTCCCATCGTCATTCTTTTCACTGCTTCCTGCATGTTTGGACACTCCTTTAACACTGTGGTGATTTACTTGAATTCCTGTTGGGTCCAGCTATTGATTATTCTGCGCCTGTTGTACATGAATCAATATCATGGCCATGACCAGTGGAACTATGTGGGCTATTATGTAAGCAGCGAACTCACCTTTATGCAGTCAGGATTTGTAAAGCTTCTCGTCTTCCAGACAAGAAATGGACACCCGTTTAACAAAACCCTTAACACAGCTGATTGGCTTGGGTTCCATCAATCCAAACATGGACTGGATTATGCGGATTTCAGTCAAGTCTTATTGTGCTTTCTGTATCTTGGCATGGCCACCCTCACTCGAGTGGTTGCAATCTGGATGAAGAACTTTCGAATATCCAGAAATATCCCATTGAATCAAACTCGCGTTTTATTTCCTGACATCACCTACCTGAACTGCCACGATAATACTGGGAATATGCTGAAGTTTTTTGCGAATTATGGGTTCTACCGGTTTGGGTGCGAGGTAAGAGTTTTAAGCTCCACCAGTTGTTCCAGTTGTTTTATGCCCGGACTATTTTAACAGGTTTGCGCTGTAGTTGCCTGCATAATAATGCTAATAAGGATGGACATTGTCGCAGTTGGTCTCTCTTTTTGGCTTTTGCTCATTTTTTCTTTGCGAAGATCTCTGTTGAGGATTGTTTGGCTGCCCACCATTGTGTTGGCCGCTTCAGGACTTGTGCTTCAGTACTTGGCTACATTAGGCTGGTGGCCTTCCTATTGGAACCGTATGTCTATGATCGTTTTGTTTATCCAATAGCTGATATCAAAGTAAATTTTTACAGATTCCCTCACAAGATATTGGAGCTCGACCGACTTTCTCTTGAGAATCCAGCAGTTTTGCCATTTTCCCAACATGGCCCATCCCCCAATAAAAGAGAAGCTTTCCCTTGATTATCTGCTGCTGCTCTTGCTGTGCCGACAATGGCGAGCCTTCCAGCGGGAATGGAAGATCAAAAGCCGGTACTCTGTAGCTGGCAGGAACATTCATGTTTTCGATTTGTTTGAGGATCCAGAAAATGAAAATCCAGTCCCTGATTTTATGACTTACACCAGGTAGTTGGGCTTGAATCATGCAAACATATGCATGTGTAGTTACAAAAACGTTGCATAATTGTTGACACTTTTTTCAGGAGTTACTTGGACGCAGTAAAAAGAATATTTTTCATTGCCTGGTTCTACGTGTCTTTGAGCTGTACCTTCTTGGCTGGCACCCTAAGACCTACCATTTTATCCTTCGGTTACATTGTTGGGGCCTTTATATTTGCCTGGGAAGGCAATTATTTCTTTCTTAGGCCACCAGAAACCATCATGAGACGGTTTGAAGCAGTTTGCAAAAATATTACAGAAATTAGATGTTTTTTTTAGGTGGAATGTTCTCATTGCCTATACAGTCCTGGTAATGACCACTCGCACAGTCAGCCAAATATTTGGCTGTATACTGATATACGAGAAACTTATTCCAATTAACTGCACAGCATATCAGTGAGGGTGTTTTCTTCAAATTGCACAAGCAGTGGACGAAAATCAATTTTTGTTGCAGAATTTTCACCATTGGTTGCGTGGACAAGTTCCATATGACTGACGGCGTTCCAAATTTAACAAAAAAACCGGCCTGCCAGGCAGATTTTGACTCGTTGGGACTGGCCTATGACTGCATTTGCTTCTTCTTTCTCATTTTTCAGCAACGCATTTTCAAGAGCTTTCACTTCTTCCATATCATCAACGACGCGAAGGCTCAAACCATCTTGGCCGATAGAGGTTGGTGAAACCTAGATGGGGAGCTTTTGCATATTTCTTTTGTTGTCAGGTGCCCAATTGATCGAGGACGGAAGGCGCAAGCGGAAGGTCGCCTTGGATGTGGAAGACAATCAAATAAAGGAAAATATCAAGAAGAAAATGGACAGAATCCGAGCGACGCACCAAAAGGTTCAAGGAGAGGTCTATCAAAGACGGCGGAAGAACCATAAATACAGTAAGGGCGAAAAAGGTGAACGGTTGCAAGTTTTTCGGCGAAATGTTCCTTTTTAGTGCTGAATTCCAGCGACTATTACCTGTTTGATGATGCGGGACTTAGCAATGACATTCCACTTTTGCCTATAAAGCAAGCTCAAGATGACACTGAGTTAGACCCCTACGACCCCCAGCCACTTTCGGAGGTAAAACCTTGCTTTCTGCCAGGGACTTCTGGAATTTACTAAACCTTTGCTTGCAGTATCTCAGTTTGTTCCATTCGAGCAACATCAATTCAGTATTGGCGGAGCGAGAATTGCGTAGGCGACAGAAAAGGGCCATCAAAAACGGCAAAAATGTGCGAGCTTAAAAAATTATGGCATGATTTTAATTGAATGTTTTTCATATAGCCTGGAGACTTGAGGAGGGATGCAAAAAGTCCCAGAGCTGGAACTAGCAAAGATCCGGATTTTGTACAAGGCACACTTGAGGACTGGTTGAGTTGCTCTTATCATTTGTTTGTTGATTTTAGAGCGGAAGTCCAAGTGGCAAAAAGTTGTTGCAGTTTTAGTTTTTCTGTTGGGTCTAGTGGAAGGCTCCATCGTGAGCATCACTGGACATCTGAATCGGTTAACGAAACCATTTAGAAGCATTCTAGAGACAATGAATATTGAAAGGAAAACTTTGAAGGTAGTTCGAGACTGATGTCTAGGAGAGACTGGAAGAGTTTTTCAAGTTGCTCAGCAGGATTTGCTTTCAGCTACAGATTGACAAGTTTGAGCTTTTCCTATATCATTTGCATGTATTTTAATCAACCCGCTATTCCCTTTTCAAAATCTGTTTCAATTTCCTTCCATTCCTCAGCGTCCATTCATGTTTGCCTTGAGAAGAACTCAAACAGACCTAGGCCTACTATTTACCTCCTCAAGCACTTAAACGCATTTTATTCTCTCAAATGTTCCCAGGAAAAAACCAACTACACTGATGGTGTGCGATTAGGAAGCAACAAAATTTGGCGCCCTTTGGAGTTGTATCGTGATGTTCTAAACGCAACGTGAGTTTGCTAGTTGTTCAACTTCTACCAAAATACCATCAATATTTCAGCTCTAAAAACAGTCAACCAGAGCAGGAAGTCATCCAATACTCGATCTACATCAAACTCCTCAACGCGATTTGGTACATACTTCTGAGCTACTCTGAGGCCATGTGCTACCTCATTATCATTCTAAACCAAGTGATCAGAGCCAATTTCATTTCCCTACCGCTGGTGATTCTGATGTTCTGCTGGGGAGCGTTGACAGTACCTAAACCGACAAGGACTTACTGGGTGATAACTATTGCCTATGTTTTGGTAAGTTCATGGGCAGGATGAGGAGCTGCCGCTAACTAGGGATGGTTTCAGATTATGCTGTTCCTCAAAAACGTCTTCGTAATGAAAGTGATTCCTTGGAACGCCAAGCAAGAACTATACGATGACAACCTGTTCTTCCCTCCGGGAATTATAGGGATCACTAGTACAACTAGGGTTGTGTTCAATTTTATTATGTTGGTGGTTTTCTTTTTTCACAGGTAAGTTACTTGGTACTTTAAAGTAACTGGTAAGTAGCTAATATTTTTTTAGAGTCGTCTTGCAGAAGCTTGGCTTGTGGAAGCCGTTCACCTACCGCAACTCAGCCCTGATTGAAGATGGTGACTATTTTGTTCGGGAGGGCAAGCTTACGCGCTTAAATAGGTAGGGTGCTTACGCACTTTAATCAGCGCTTACCATTCGAATCTCGCAGGAACGATCCAAGAGGTCCATCCACATTAGCAGTCAAAACATTTGGCGTTTCCATGAGCGATTATTTCCCCAGATCAGTGTTGGCAAGGTAGGGAGGACACGTTTTCTATTATTGATCATCACCCAGTCTATTTTTCAGTTTTATCAAATACGCAGAAAACTTCAGACTGTTCACCCAGCAATCAATCACACCGTCGTCCGCGCAAATCCCTGTTGATGTTTACACTCCAATGTTCCTCTGCGACTTGATTAATTTGTGCCTCATTCTGTTCTTCTATGGGGACTTTAATGTAAACCCCGATGAGAAACGACTGAATCTCGACAGTCAATAAAACTATTGTTTCAGAATGATCTGGAAAGGAGCGGTTTAATAGAATTCATGCAGAACAACACGGTACCCATATCGTTCATAGTAACAGTACTGGTGCTGGTGTTCCTCATGGTGATCGACAGGGCGATCTACCGTAGGAAAAACCGATTTGCCAAGCTGGTCTTTTACTTTCTACAAGTCATCTCGTGCCATTTATATTTGTTCGTTCTATATCCAATAGTGACCAAGAAGTAGGTTTCGTTTGCTGTTTGTGTGCTGCTTGACTGGTTGATTTTTAGGAAATTCAGGGACACTCGAGTGGTTCAGGCGTTCTACGTGTTCAAGTGTTTGTACTTTCTGTTTTCAGCCTACCAAATCAGGAACGGGTATCCTTCATTGATATCGTTTCAATTCCTGTGGCATGGAATGACAGTGTTCAATAGGTAAGAACCTTTTGAGTTTTAGCTGAAAGAAGATGTTGCATATAAAATATCTTATGGCATTCATTCAATAGGTTTGCCTATAAGTTTTACCTGCTGATTCCTTACTTCTTCGAGCTGAGAGTCTTACTGGACTGGATCTGCAGCGACAGCTGTTTAGCTGTGACCGATTGGTTCAAAATGGAGGAAATTACTAGCAACATGTTTGATCAAAGAGTAAGCATCAGCAATATGATTTAAACTCCTTATTCAAATGTCCCTCATTCGACAGTAGAATAAATTGAAAGTAACTTCAAGTTCAAACTTAAAAAAAATTAAAACCAAAGAAATCAACATGTAACACATCAGGTATTCAAAACCACTGGAAGTTTGGGTCTTTTTCAATTTGCACTTCAATACAAGAAAACTGCCCCAATTTTATTAATCTGCTCGTCCGGTTTTCGTTCATTTTAAACTATTTTTCCTAACAATGGTCGTGTGCATTTAAAAAAATTAATAAAGCTGCTACAGTTAGTTGCAGTTTCATCCTGTCGCCGGGCACACGCTAAACTTTATTAAAAGCCTCATTAGTGAAGTAGGAGCGCCAAAAGAAAAAAATTAGCTTTGAAAAAGTACAAATAGCTCTAGAATAGAGTTCGTTTTTAACAAGTGTGGACAGGACCTGGATGAGAATTGGAGTGAACCGGCCGGGACGGCCAAGGACCGTAACAAGAAGTACTTGGTGGGCGGGTTTCTCTATGTCCTGCTGATTCTGACGGTTATTTTCCCGTTTTTACTGTTTTCCTTGAGCGGTACTGTTGGAGTCCAGACTCATCCTGCTAAGATCAAGCTGCAAGTTTCGATTGGGAGCTCAGAGCCGATTTTTGAGTCTTATGCTTCCCAGAAGAGCTTGAAGCTGTAAGCAAACTCGCTCAGTTATGGTTAGTATTAATATCAGCATTTTTAGCCTTAGTAAAGAGGACTACAAAAACCTGACCACTACTTTCAACAGCATTCCGGAATCTGAGGAAATTTTCGAAAATTTTCACGCAGATGACGTCGTAGTTGTCGATTGGTCACCCAACAGTTTGACCAAGTGGAAGGTGTCTCCTGGCTCCTATGCAGAACTTATAGAAGATGTTTTCTCAGGTGCATTGAACCCATCATTAAGAGATTGTTTTAAAACCATTGTCATAGATGATGATTTTGCGGTTCGCGTGGAAATTAGCTACACCCATCTGGGGACTGGAGGCCAAAAGGTCAAAAGGATCTTCGGACAAAGCGCCGTTGTTCCGCCCTTACCGAATCCACAGCGGCAAAATTTGATTAATATGCTCCAATCCAACATCAGTGTAGACACAGCCATATGGGTGCCATTGTCTTTTCCGAAATTCCTGCTTATTACCAAGGATGGCACCCCGAAACCTTTGCCAATAATGTTGGAACAAGGAAGTAAGGCTTTATTGGCCTTCTGGGCAAAAATGGTTAAATTTGGATACTCCAGTTTGTTTTGAAGTTCTATAAAGTTTTTGTGTGGCTATAAACAATTGCTTCCACTTGATTGTCAGATGTTTTCATGTTTTTAGTGATCACGAAAGAGTGTGTTAACTTAATAGTCTTCAATACTGACTTGTTTCTTTTCCTTTGCTCTCATTTGATATTACGTTTTGCCTGTTTCTGCTTCATGCTAATGTTACGTGTTTCTGGTGGCACGTTTTCGGTCAATTTTGGTGGTTTTCCATTTGTAGCAACTTATACTTTTGCTTGAACGTCTGTTTCTTTTTTATCCGCTTTTTTGCAATCTTCCGTTTCATTTTTATAGTCAACAGTTTCTTCATTTTGGCTGTCTGTGTTTTTTGTGCTTATTTTTAAACTGTCTGGTTCAAATTGAATGAAAGTATAAATTCACCATCTAGTAATGTGCTTAAATTCAATATTTTGAAAATTACTTTTCATTGCTTTGTTCTTCATTATTTTTGTAGCAAATCTTGCTTCTGCTGAAATAAATTCTGTAATATAAGACTCGAGTGCGTTAAGTTTTTTTGCACTTTTTAATTTTCTTTAAAATCTACGTTTGTTCCATTAATTGCCAGCTTTTTTCTAAATGAATCTAATCTTTGCTTGATTTTCACTCGGTTATTTTGCAATGTGTTCATCTCTATCTTCAATCAAAATTAATCTTGTATTTACTTTGTTAATGATTCAGATAACTGCTTCAAATTTGCTTACTCTTTGTCAATTTTTTTGTAGGTAAAATATGTTTCTATGCTATCTACAATTTTGTCATAGACTGTCTCATTTTTTCCATTTTCGTCTTTATGAAACGTTTCGTTCCTTCATTTTATATCTGCCTGAAACCTCGCTTTTTTCACTTTCAAATTCAATATTTGTCTCTCCTTCTAACAGTCTAGACTTTAGATATTTCTAACCTAAATGCTTATTTATTTGCTTCCTTTCCAGTGAGCAGCAAATGGCAAAAACTATGTTTACTCTACAGTCTCTGATTTTGGTTCTAAGATTTCGTTTTATTTTTCGGAATCTTCTTTTCAGTTCTAACTTGCTAAGAATAGTTATTTGTCCACTTTGTGAAAAGCATTAACCTTTTCTCGATTTCCATTTAAATTCAACCCTTTACTTCAAGTATACTTCACGTTTATTCTTCACGTTTAAGGTGGATAATCTACGTTCCTGTGTTGATTGTCTCTTTTCTGAAACATGGTCTTGTTATTCCCATTTTTGTCTTTATAATAATCTTCCTTCCTCCATTTTTTGGATACCAGAATCTACCTTTCCGTCGATTTCAGATGCAATCTTTGTCTCTGCTGCTAATAGTCTTGACATTACATATTTTCATTTGGAAGGCATTCAAAAAAATTATATTCATACAAAACTTTGAACCTTTTTACGTTCTTTACATCTTCATTATACATTGTTCCTTTCTTCCCAAGGGTCAATCTCTGAAACCTTTTTTTGCTGCATTCAAATGCATTTTTATCTCCTTGATAGTCTAGACATTAGATATTTTTAATTTTAAGTTTCAGGATTAAGACTCATATGTGATTCTTTTATCTTCTTTTTAGATGTTACACTTTGGGTTTAAGCCTCCCCATTTTTCTTCTTGAGCCATCTCATACCAGTTGGTCGTCGCTCCACCTCATTTCTGGCCTTCCCACTTTCCTTCTGCCGGTCCATGGCCTCCAACCCACCATTCTACAGCCCCACTTGTCTTAGTTTTCTGCAACGTGTCCCGCCCAATTCTACTCCTGCGTGGCGTCGGGTTTCACGACGTCTTGCATATTTGTTCTTTTCCTGATCCACTCATTTGTCTTCCGGTCCTTCAGTGATATACTAGGCATCCTCTCGATAACCCTCTGCTTGACTTTGAGCTTGTAAAGTATTGCTTTTGTAAAAGTATAAGTTTATCATCCGTAAGTGGTAAGGTACGTGATAACACGTAAGGTTTCCCGTGACACCGGAAAGTGCTCGACTTTTACCGATTAAAACCCCCCTAAGTTCTGGAGGAGTTATTCTTTGAAACTTGTAGTCTTCCGTAAGAATAGATCAGCTCCTCACATCTAACACTAAGATTTTGCACTTACATCACTTTTCAGCTTAGGTACTGCTTTACCTATTGCCCTGTTGGGCCATTTGGTGCCTGGGCACATCATTCTCTGGTGCATAGTCTACGGCTCTTCGTACTTAAGCGAATGGATTTGCGGTCAAAGGTTGATGCTTTAGGGGCTCCCACTCCAGGTCCCTGTAAATTTGACAATTACGTACAAACGAGGGCTCATCTACTGCCATCCGCAGAAGTGTATTTTATGGACCTGCAGGCAGTTTTGTCACGTTTTCTTCCATTAAAAAAGTCCTGGCTCTTTCGCAGATTTCGCCGCATACGCTCCTTGCGTCATGAGGATGTTGTTCCAGTTGTTCTCTGCTGGTTCGCCTCCTTAGCGTATCCTCCCACAATTCTGAGAAGCTGAAGTTCAGTGGGGTGTTTACCACGGAACCCAAAGAAGCAAGCTCGCTTGCTTGTCTCAAGATTCAGCCTCCACAAGATAACCCTTTCTACTATCTTACCGAGGCTGAACAACAGGCTGATCTGCCTGTAATTCTGGCATTCTTTTTGGGTTTCTGGACCATAATGGCGTCTGATTTTTTCCAGATGCTTGGGAAATGGCATTGATTAAATTGGTGACCTTTTATCGGCAGGCTCTTAAGCATCTTGTTGGTTATTCGATCTCTTCCAAGGGTTTCCATCGTCTTCGAGTTCCAGATCATAGTTGACACCTGGTGAAGTCGGCGAAATACAGCTGTCCACTGATTCTGCTCAGAGTCTCCGAACAGACCCTTCTGACGGAAGTCCTATGCCCTGCGTGTTCATCCGGGTGGTTATTCTTCCTGGCCTCGCTTTCTTGGGTATCTGCAAAGCCTTCAGTTTTATCCCCGTTAGTTTATACTAGACCTTGCACTCCGTGTAAAGAAGGTATCTTAGTGTCTTCCTGTCGGAGGGCCTTGGATCTCCAGATGCTTTCGTCCTCTCGACCAACCCCTCTGATGCAGCCTTCCCATCTCCGGGTTCGGCAATCACTGAGGGCGTCCTTTAGAATACGTCCCTGCCGGTTCAGGGCGATTCTGATGTCCTCTCTGAGCGCTTTCTGCACACCCTGCGCAGCCTTCTGTGGTTAGTGAATTTTCCAGAAGGTTGTTCCGATAGTTCCTCACGGGCTACCGGCACTTTTGCAGTACACCGAACTTCTGGCGTGTGCTTCCTGGATTGTTTCACCGAGGCTTCTTGCGGCTGTTTCCACTTCTCACTTGCTCGTTATATGGGGAATATCAATTAGGTGTCTTTGAACATAGACCAGTTCTTGATTTAAGAACAGAAGTTCGGTCTTCATCGCCGCAACTCAAGGTCTGCATAAAATTCTTGTACCGTTCTTATAATCTCGTATATCCTTTGATCCCTTTGCCTTATTTGTCTTTGATTCTGACGACTTCTTTCTTTGTGTTTAACGCTTCTCTTCTGAACACTTTTGTTGCTTTACGTTGTTCTAGGACTTTCTTCGCAATGCGAGGATTATGGGTTCTGATATCTTCCTTTGCCATTTTTCTGGACGTTTTGTTTGTCTCTACGATTTTTTTGTTGTTTACTATAAGTTGTCGTTTCTTTTCCAGCATATTTATAGTTGCCGAGGTTAGTTTGTTTGTTCTTTGAGATTTTGTGTGTACGTTTGATATCGCTGCTTGGTTTAGTGTCGTTGCGATCTTTTTGTTTACTTCGTTTATGTCCTCAGTACTCAGCATCTGGTCTTTGAGTACATTCTCCAGGTTCGTTTGGAATTTCTTTGGGTTTGCTTGGAGGTTTTCTCTGTCTATCTGTTCGGGTTTCGGCTTGTTGATTTTATTGGTTGACTGGTTTTGCTTAATGCATATCGTTCCCCTTATCAGACGGTGGGTGCCGGCCGTATTCTGCATCTAGTTAATCCGTTCAGTACCTGGACGTTATGTACTATATGAATGTTCTTTGTGATATATATAGTCAATGTGGTTAAACTTATGTCTATCTGGGAGTGCCCAGGTCCGTTTTCGGCTTTTTTGAAAGAAGGTGTTGACGTGGTACAGGTGTTCCTACTCCACACAGTTTGCCATCGTAGCACCTCTGGGGTTTCTTTTGCCTAGCCGGTGTTTGCCTAAGTATTTTTCCTCTGGGTCGCCTTGGCCTCCTATCGTACAGTTAAAGTCGCCAATCGGTGTTCAACTGTGATTAGCGAATTCATTTCTCAATATCTGATGTAGCAGCTGCGCCTTCCTTTCAGCATTAGTGTGCTTCTGTTCGTCTGATTTCCTTTTCCGTTTGAAACAGTTAAACTTACTGATTGTTCTTTTGTTGTACCAGCATTTTCTCCTACTTCTAGAACTGGATTCACTTTTCCTTGTCTTGCCTTGCCTTTTCCTGCTGAGACTTGCGTTAAATTGTCAGCAGTTCTGTTAAATTTACTCCACATTATTCAGATTACACGTATGACCCATACAACGAGTCCTCATTCCTGCAAGATACCGACGATGATGAGGACACTCCGGCTGATCCCAAGATCTTGCGGAATCTTGTAGCGTCGCTTCTGGTCAATGAGGATGGAGATAAATGGCAATCTGGCCCTGAATTCTATTTAGTGCTGACTTTACTAACTGATTTCCTAGGTGGTATATAACGGAGGAATGTAGCGCAGAGGACGACAACTACTTTTACTACCTGAAAGACCTCGTGCATAACAGTTGCGAGCATTTAGTGCTGTACACTTTCAATGAGAGAGTGTTTTCGAATACCATGAGCTACGTGACTCAGAGTGGGTGAGTGTTTTCACTCCCAGTTCTTTCTGAGCTGGTAGCGGAGTTGAAAATTTCAGAATCATTGGACTTTACCTGCTGTACTTTATGATGGTGATTGGGATTATTCGAGGCTGTCGGGTATCAGTGGGTGAAATATGGATAGAAGACCTTCCACTCTCAGACGACATTATGAGGGTAAGCTCAGTAGCAGGAAAAGAGTTTTTGAAAAATTGGCGTTCGCTAGAAATGCCTGGAAGTGTACATAGCCAGAGACATGCACAATTTCGAGCTGGAAGAAGAACTGTTTGCCGAATTGATTTTCATTATGAGATCCCGAGAGTTGCTGATAAAATTGAGCAGGCTTAAAGACAGCGGCTACAATCCTCCCATAGTCGCTCCAGTGGCTAAGAGAAAGTAAAAGTCTTTAAAGTTGAATTTAGAACGGTATATAGAGTGTTTTCATTTGGATGGTTTAAGAGCAGTTTTCAGTTGGATTTGTGTTTGTTTTAAAAACTTTTATTGGTTTTTAGGCAAAGTGAGGACGACAATGATAAGGAAACTTCCACATAGACTTAATGAATAGTTTTAAACGTGGCTAAGTGCTGTTTTCAGCTCGGGATAAAAATAAACTGTTAAGTAATGAGTATTTTTTCAACATGCGAAAAGCATCTTTTGAATGCAAAACCAGTCCACTTATCATATTTCACGGCGACCATCCTCAAATCAAGTCCTTTTCAATGTTAAATGTAAATGATTGAATCTCAAACGCAAATAACGTAATTCCTAGACCCGGAGTGTTAATTATGTATTGTCTCGTCGTGTGCTTGCATTGTTTTAAATGCCGCGAGATCATTGAATAATTTCAAGAAAATTCCGCCTCGTTTCCCTGCATATTTATTTACGGTTTGGGGTTTTCTTTTTGTACCTGATGGCTTATTTGGTAAAACTCACACATTTGGTTGCTGGCTGCAGAAATGTAAATTTCCCATAGTTGTTTGCTGGGTTTTTTTAAATAATTTAATCTGTCTTATTTTCGGTTCTGGGAATCGTAAACGGACGTATTTAGGTGTCCATCCTAATCTGAAAGCAAGTAAATTTTTGTCGGGGAAAATTCAGGCATAAAATTGCTTCCACGGCCACAAAAGTAAGTGGACTAATAACACTGATTATATTCTGGGGAATGAACAAGGCACAGGTAAAAATAATCCTACATACCCACAGTAATTAGTCCCTGTTATGAGTTAGCTGGCAAACACGTGTATAATTTGAAAACCTGTTTTTATTGTTGTGTATTTGGAGATTTCCATTTTGTCTTGGTTTCGTATTGATTATGTTTTCGTTTTGGTTCAGGACACCGAAAGCAATAAATTTACATGAATTAATCAAAGTACCGCTTTAAAAAAGTGAGCACTTTCTTTGTCAAATGCATTTGGAAGATTCTGTAAATTTGTCGTTTTCAGTCGAACAAAAAAGAGCTCTGTCTTCAATTGGAGTTATGAAATGTTTATTGCATAACTGCAACTTTTTGTACTCACTACTATTATTTGCTGCTAAATATCTCCATATACAAATGGCCTAATAGAGCTTTAATTAGAAAATGAGATTAAAAAACCGATTTACAAAAGATTTTTTTAACAGTTTAACAAGAATTAACTTTTTGCTTTTTGGTTTAAACATAAATAATGTGGAATTAAGAAACATCCACATAACTTGAAATTTGTGTGTATTAAGAATACCTGATGAAATTTTCAGTTCCACTTGTTCTTCAAACTTGAAAACTTCACTGAGTTTCAAGTCATTTAAATACAAATATAAGCATTTTTTACTTTGAATTGAAACTTGAGCGACTTAAGCATATAGCTAAACAAACTATGTCATACAGAAAGTGAAAATATACTAAATAATAAAATGGAAAATATTCTTATCAAAGCAAATACAACTGACTACAAAATGGCCAATAAAGTAAAATATAACAGTGGTAAATTACTTCGTAGCCGGTTCTCACTGCAGTTTTTCTGGAGATTAAAAGACTCGAAAAAATTATCAAAAAATATAATATTATTCAGTGTGTGTCAGTTTATACCAGTAGAAATCTAGCATTCGATAGAGCACATTATTTTTCCTTAACATTGTTAACTTAAAATGTGTAAAAATCGCTTTTTAAAATGTACTTTAATTTTGAATTTTCCAAGGCGTATGCAAAAATGCTTTTTTTTGGTCAAATATTCTATCAGATAAATTTTAAAATTAAAAATTTAATTCAACGATAAGAATGCATCGAAACTAAAAGTTTATGAGACAAAAAGCTTAAATTTAGTTGATAATTTAATGAAAACTGCTTAGTAAGTAAGCACTCTAACACAAATTAAAACCAAATTTTAAATCAAACAGAAATAAATACAAATTAGATTTTAACTGTAAACGTAGGTAAACAAATGAATGTAAAATTCCATTTTAAATAATCATTAACTTGGAAAATAATACTAATTTTCTTGGGAACTTGAGAGCGACAAAATATAATTCAAAACGATCATGAAAGTCCGTAAAGTACAGTGTTTCCAAATTCTCCTTTCTATATTTTTTGCGTTTCTTTATTTTTAATTTGTGAGAGTTAATTTTGGAGTTTCTGACCACCTCTTCTATCAGTTTTGAATATAATCTATTACTAAAGCGAAAATATGAAAAAAAAACGAAGTGCAGTTGAAAAAGCAAAATGAGGAACCACATTTACAAAATGCTGGAACAAAACTGCTCAATGTCTCCATCTGATGGCAAATCAATTGATTGATTGATTGAACGCTCTGCACAGGAAAAATTTAAAACAAAAATTAAGTAAATTATATTTTTTAAATGCTTTCATTTACTTCACCGGTCTTTCTTTGTATTTAAAACACTTTAGTTAAATCTTATCCTACTATTGAATAGTCACCAAAAATTAGTTTGCTCAATGAACCCAACCGTCTCCATAGATGTTTTGGAACGAATCAAAATTGAGACAATCAAGCTTGGAAAGCAAATAATGGTTTTTTTGCCGAGTGTTTTTGTAAATAACCGGTGATTTCCTGATGTTAAGACTGACCTTAGAACAACAGGTTCTATGTGGTTCTTCGTACACCGCATAAAAAATCGCCGACTTCGATCTCAGCATACGATTACACAATCATCAATCTGCATGATCCATTGGAAATCCCAGAAACAAATTAATTTAATTAGGAGCTAATCCAACGAGTAAATACGTATATGAATGTAAAAAACGCCGGTTAAAAGCCCATTAAATTGACAAGTTAAACAAAGAGCGAACATTCAAAATGTATTTCTTTCTGGCTCCTACTTTTAAGAACTATTTATTAATTGCTGGATTTTTAACAATAGCCGCTGTCAGAAGGTCGTGACTAAACATCATTCTTCCTCGGAAATTTGCTCGGTAGATCGACGTATAAAAACTGCTCGCATGATTTTCTGCTTATAGTACAGAACTAATCATGAAGTGGTATTCACTACCACTAGTGCTCGCAGTGCTAGTTGCGCCCGGACTATTAAAAAGTCCACCCCAGCCTGCTGGGGTTGTGTATTTAGTCGATGAACTTGTGGAAACCAAACCGAAGAAAAACGCTGAGGATAGCGGCAACAATGTTATTCCTGATGAAGGTGAAAACTCGAAACGGGGTGTTCTATTAGCTAATCCCATAGCTGAAAACGTGGCGGGAGACGGAGTGTACTTTAGGCCTGAAGATGGAAAACCTGTTGCCGAAGGCAAAGTGAGTGTAAAGTGCACGGAAATTTAGTGCAATTTACAAGCTAAACTCTGTTTGATATTGAAACATTTTTTCAATTCAGCGCCTCATAGTCGCCCAGCCCTCCCGCAGTAAAAGATCCTACGGTTCAGGTGGCACCGGAGGCGGCTACGGAGGAGGTTATGGGGGAGGCTTTGGTGGAGGTGGCGGAGGCGGTGGAGGAGGCGGCGGTGGAGGCGGATTTGGAGGCGGCTCAGGATTCGGAGGTGGAGCAGGATTAGGAGGACTTGGTAGCTTGGGCAGCTTGATTGCAGGCATCAAGGCCAAAGGAGCCGGTAAGCAATATTTTACTTCAATCATTCAGAGAGTTGCTTAACAGCTCCCCGTTACTCTATCACTAAAAGCAGTTTCTAAATTTGACCAAAACTATCTTGTACGTGGCCATCAAGGCTTGAAGATGCTTATGTCTCCGACACAAGCGCGTCTAAAACACAGAAAGCTGAAGACATTTCATAGACTAACTAGCCCTTTAAGAAGCCTTAAAAATTTCAATGGTACAAGTCGGTATGAAATAGTTAAATTTAAATCGCAAAAAATGCCAATAGAAATGCGCTTTAGTAGACTTTGAGTTCCTCACACAGAGAAAGTGATCAATATTTAACATCCTGAGTCAGCATCCAGACAGTTTCTATTTGAATACTTATTTGCGCTTTCTAGGTGGACATGGAAATGGCGGTGGACTGGGCGGTGGTGGCGGAGGCGGCGGTTTAGGAGGAGGCCTGGGAGGAGGCGGCGGTGGTGGACTTGGCGGAGGTGGCGGCCTTGGGGGAGGCAGTGGAGGCCACGGTGGCGCTGGTAGCGGAGGTTACGGAGGCTCTGGAGGTCAAGGTGGTGGATTTGGAGGCAGCGGCGGAGGAACATCAAGTACGTTATTTAATTTTAACGCCCTGACAGTAGTTCTTTGAAAATTTCCATTTGTTTGCAGGCTCCGCGTCATCAACCAGTGGCGGCCTTGGCGGAGGTTTCGGAGGCGGCGGCCTTGGAGGCGCTGGATCATCAGGCGGAGGATTTGGCGGCTCCAGTGGTGGCGGATATAGTGGAGCCGGCGGAAATGGAGRAGGCGGCGGTAGCGGATTTGGCGGCGGCCTGGGTGGGGGTTCTGGTGGAAGTGGAGGATTTGGCGGTGCCTCAGGCCATAGTGGCGGAGGTGGAGGCGGAAGTTCTGGAGGCTTTGGAGGCGCCGGTAGTGGAGGACATGGCGGCGGATTCGGCGAAAGTGGCGGCGCAACCGGTAGGAACAAAATAAATTTCTTATTTTTGCCCAATCTCTAAACCCGTTGTTGTTGGATAATACAGGCTCAGTAATTATCACTGGAGGACCATCTGGAGGTGGTGGTGGATCAGGGGGTGGCGCCGGACGTGGTGGCGGTTTTGGAGGAGGAGGAGACGGTGGCGGCGGATACGGAGGGTCAAGTGGTGGCGGAGCCTACGGGGGATCCGGTGGAAACGGTGGTGGATTTGGGGGATCCTCCGGAGGTGGATATGGTGGATCAAGGGGCGGCGGATTAGGCGGCTCGGGAGGTAAGTTCTAAGCTTCCATAAAATTTCGAACTCTTGGCAGCTCATGTTGAATTTAACTTTAAGGATTTGGAGGCGCTCAAGGAGGCAGCGGTGGTTTCGGAGGCGGTAAAGGAGGAAGTGGTGGATTTGGTGGTGGTGGCAGTGGAGGAGCTGGCGGCGGCTTCGGTGGAGGTAGTAGACTCGTTCAAGATTCATTGCCTCATTGAAATTTTGATGTTTTTCCTAATAAGGAGGCGGCGGCGGTGGTGGACTTGGAGGAGGATTAGGAGGCGGTTTGGGAGGAAGCGGATCTGGCGGGTATGGAGCACATGGCGGACAAAGCGGGGGTGGAGGTTATGGTCCAGGAGGGGGCTGCTCTGGAGGATGCGGAGGTGGAGGAAGTGGTGGAAGTGGCGGAAGTGGAAGCTCTGGGGCATACGCTTCAGCTAGTGCCACAGCGTCCGCTTCAGCCAAAAGCAGCTCATAGTAAGTTTTCACTTATCTCTTTGAACTTTCCGGTAACAGGATTTTTTTTTATAGTGGAAAATAGGATTTGGTGGTGATGCCAAGAAAGCAAACGCCGGAAGTGTGATCTGAAGTTTTATAAATAAAGGTTTATAAAATTTTACTATGCTCTTTTACTAAATCTAAAATAATTCAACCCACCGCTTTGATCTTTGTAGGATCCACCGAACTAGGTTTTCGATAAGGGGCACATTTTCTTCAAGGATTTGATAAGATTTTATCATTTTTTTTATGGAAAATTAACTGATTATCTTATAAACTGTAAGACCTTACATGAAAATTCCAGTGAATTTTGGAGAAATACGGCCTTCTCTGTACATCAAATGCTTATCGCGAGTTCAAAAGTTTAGACGCCGCCTGGTGATTATAATTATAACGCTGTTCTGACTTAACTTAACTTAACGCTTCGCTGACTCGCCGAAACGTAATGAAATAAACGATGTTTCAAAAATTTTTGCTTCACACTTTGACTGAAACCCAGGAAAGATAAGAATATCAAAGCAAGTACACGCAGTCAGGAAAATAAATCAAAATATAATTATAACTACAAGTTAAGAAGGAATTTGACACTTGTTTTGTTGACATCATAAAATTCCTCTGAATTTCGTTGACATTGATGTCACATTGGTGTTTACATCTGATTGTAATTTGTTTTTTTGTTCTATTCAACTTTTGCAAGCTTTAAAGAAATAGAAACAGATCGAAACGTGTGTAAGTATTGTTTTATGTTATAAATGTCATCAACTCCAATAAATAAACAACTCTGACCAGCCTCAACTGTCACTCGACAACGAGTAATTTGACGTTTTGCATTGCCGCCATCTGTAGTTGAACGCGCGAATTAGTGTAGGTGAGTGTTAGGACTGTAAGCAATTATAATATTGAAACAACCAAATAATGCTAACAATATTTTTTTATAATTTAAATAAATTGGCGAGTCTCAGAAGTTCACTCGATGTTGCCTTGGTATTGGTACAGCCCTGGAAATATTGAATATTTAATGGCGAATTCAGGAACTTCATGGAAATAGTAAAATTTCAAACACTGGAATTACGGTGGGTCAATTATAATATAATTGACGTAATGTTAGTGGGAAGCATACCAGTTTCATACGCAAGACCTACGACATGATTGCCAAATTTCCACTTTGAATTTTTGCAAAAATCGCAGCTTTTTGAACTAGACCAGTGCACATTTCGAAACGGACCAACCTCAGGCACCCCCAGCACCGGTTTCAAGCCTATTAGCTATCATCAGCTGGGTTCAGCCGGAAATTAGAAATTCCGAAACCTACACTTTATGTGTGCTAATGCCAATAGAAACGCCGACGTGAATACTTATATTTCACGCTGATCCCAGCTGATAAGAGCTAATAGGCTCGAAACTGGCCTTGGGGGTGACCGAGGTTGGTCAATTTGGAAATATGCACATGTCTATTTGAAGAGCTGCAATTCTGCTGATGCTGAAAGCTTTTCATTGATCTCAGCTTCTACATAGGTACAAATAACACTTCCAGACAGTTGTGCTGATTCAATTTGTTAGCACACCCTATATATTACTTAAAGCCCATATCAATTGTTAGTCCAAGCGTCAAAAAATTGGAAGACTTTTAGGTGAAATGAATGAGAACAAACCGTTTACCTCATTGTATGTAACTTAAAAACGCGTGCACATTTTACAGCTTTATCGACTCACTGAGAGCATGACTTTCGATTAAAATATGCCCTTGTCGGAGTTATCAGCAGAATGTATCAATGGACTATTTATATATTTGGATATACCTTCTAGAATTCCGGCGTTTTTTCGATAAACCCCGCTATGAGGAAAGTTCTGGCCCATGTTAATTTCCCTTCTGGTTCCTGATACCGGATGTCCTGCTACATAACGGGAAACGCTCAAATATTTCGACCGTGCCGTTCCTAGAAACAAAAACCATTCTTCTAGCATTTCCTACAATTTCCGGAAAATGCTCTCTTACCAGCACTGGCCTTTGCCAAGGGCTCCAGCAGCTCCTCCAAATTGAATTGACTCAAATTCAGCTTCTGCTGCTGATACTCTTTGTTCAGCTGTTTTTCCTGATTTGGCAATTTAATTTTCCTTCTTAGGCAAAATTAGTCGTTTATGGTTGCTTTGATAGAGACGCCAAAAGTCTTACCCTAGAATGTCGGCAAAGTCATCCTCAGGGTACTCGTAATTGCCTCCGGAGTCCCAGGATATTTTCTTGCGGTTGTGAGCCACCCCGGATAGAGCCGAAGGCAAATACTTGTTGGCATACTCTGGATGATCAAAGAGTTTCTTTCCAAAGTCCGCTTGCCCAAACGAGTAGACTATCGGATGAGATTGACTTTTTTCTGGGGTCTTCATGGGCTTGATTAGGGACTGAATGTTAATCTGGACACTGGGGGGCATCGCAGGGTTTTGAGGCTGCAAGTTGTTGAGGATGTTGCGTCCGTTTGCTTGGATTTGTACTCCTGATGTAGAAAAATCCCAGATTTAGTGACTGGGATTAAGTGGAATTTTCCACATATACCTTCCATGTTTCTTTCGGCACCTGAATGCGGGTGGCCTGGCGGCTGCAGGTGCATTCTGGCCGAATTTCTTAGCAGAGCGTTGTCTGGTAGGGCGTTCGAAATTGTCAAATGGCGAGCAGAAGCTGTGTAATGTTGGCCCACCTAGAACAGCCATTTTAGTGCTGCTGTCTGGCAAAACGATCCGAGGTTTCACCTGGAAGTATTGATGCTTTAAAGCTCCTTGAGCGGTGGGTCTGTAGGCCGGGTTCCATTCCATCAGCTGATCCATTAGGCTAACGGCTACAGAGCTGGCTTGAGGCACCACTTCGCTTAGGGGCGTTTTGGAAAAGTAGGGAAACTTGAATCCGACTGCACCAGCTAGCTGGTAACCATCTGCCCACTTTTTCTACAAGTTTTCAAATTGTTTTAAACCTGTTTTGATAACTTTTGATGTTAACGATAAGACTAATACGGATTCTTTAAGATAAGAAAATTTAGGATGACTTTAACGTGATTCTCTACGATATGCTTGATGCGAGAGTTGTTAAAAGCTCACGGACCAAGCGGTGAATGAACAGAATATTTGGAACTCTAGAGTCTTGTTTTAACGATCTTTGCGCCTTTTCTTCGAGTGAAAAAAATTGAGCTTTGCATGTTATAAGCTTGATATAAAATCCAAAAATGGGTTTTAAGTACTGGCGAATTCTAATTTTATTTAAACATCTGCATACTTTGTCGGGAGTTCCCATAATGGCGCAAATCTTGTACAATTGATCAGTTTCAGTTGTCCCCGGAAACAGTGGCCTGTAGGTGTAGATTTCTGCAGCAATGCATCCGACGGCCCACATATCAATTGGGCTGCTGTATGTCGTTGAATGCAGCAGAACTTCTGGAGCTCTATGGGTAGACAAATGGTAATAAGTGGGTTAAATTTAATTTTATTCAGCTGTTTACCTGTACCATCTGGTCGATACATAGTCAGTGTATGGTGGCCGAGAGCGTATTTCCCTAACCAGGCCAAAATCTGCAATTTTTACCAGATCCGGGCCGGAACACAGGATGTTTTCCGGCTTGAGGTCCCTGTGGAAAAAGCCATGCCGATGGATGAAGGCCAACCCTTGCAGAATCTAAAATAGCAAGCCAAAATGTGAGCATTTCCATCCCAATGTACCCTTTATTGATCATTTAATTAGAGCCAGTTAAAAGAACATCAGAACAAAGTTTGCATCGTGTAATTACGGAGTTATTTATTCAAAACTTTTGGCCCATTTGTTTGTAAGCTATTGATTTCGGGTTTTCTTGCAACTGGTCATTTATTACGGAATTAAGTGGACTTACCTGATACAACATGTTCCGGACGGTGGCTTCTGGATATGGAACACGTCGATCTTTGATCAGTTGGTAGAGGTTTTCTTGCATATATTCAAACACAAAGTATAGAATGTCGTTTTCTCTGATCACTTCTTTCAGTTTGACCACATTGGAATGGTGTAATTTTTTTAAGGACTGAAAGAAGAAATTGCTTGGTTAAATTGACTGAACGAAAATTCACTGGAAGAAGCTGGAAATTAGTAACAATCGAGAATATGAAAATGAGAGAGAATTTACAAAACTGCAGCAAAATATTAAAACGAGTTAAAATAGTAGGTGCAAAATAAAACAGACCGAAGGGGACAAAGAAAGAATTTTGTTTTCTGATTGAAACTAGAGCCACGGACTACAGCTTCGCTGATCCAAATTTAAATGTTCGCAAAGTAAAGTAAAGTAAGTACTTAGTACGAAAATTCCAAAACCTTTATTTTTCTGATTTTTCTTTTTATTTATTCCTTGATTAGTAAATGCTACAAACCCTTTTATTTGAACGTCGATGGCTTTTTCTACTAAATCCCTAAAAAGAAACTCTTGTGGCATTCACATCTATTATAATCGGTGTTGTGTTGATTAAAATATATTTTAAATAATTTTGGGGGTTTCACAATTTTGGTTCATTTAGAAGGTTTTATACACAACTGAATTATGCCGAGTGTTCCGTTTCATTGCAGCAAAATTTTGAATGCGTCTTCCTTACACGCAAAGGGCATTTGTTATGAAAAGTACAATACAATTATAGAGTTTTTCGTGACTTTTATCTGAGCGGCTGATTTTTAAACGGTGCCTAATAAAACAAAACACCACATGAATGCGTGCATGAAAAAAGCAGGTTAAATTGCCAAATGTGAGCCCAATAATTGTTTTCTTGAAGGCAGCAGCAGTTTTTATTTTTTTTTGACTAGCTTTCTGGAAAATGGCTAATAAAATATACCACTTTTGCCCCGCTACAAAACGACATAATAAAATTATCCAATCACTATAATAATTATTTGACAAAATATCAATAAGTGAAAAGTATGAAGTAAAATGATTGATGAGTTGCCTTTTTAAGGGCATACATTTCACGCTTCACTTCTGGCAATTGAAAATCACAAACTTTGAGGAAATTTTGCTTCTGACGAACTATCCTCGATGCCTCTTCTTGGTCGGTTGGCCGATCTTGTATGTGTAGTTCAAAGTCTTATGCTCCGTTTCGGCGCATTTTATTCAAATGATCAAAGTTGAAATATTTCAACTGCAAAAAAACTTTTTTTTTGATAAAAATAACACTTTTTCAACTTGATTGTATTGTACATCTTAGACTGAGCACCCAATAAAACTGTTAAGTAAAAAACATAAAATATAATTTCTTGCTCTTAAGGCCAAGGACAGAAGCAGGATGATCTCTCTTACTGTTTCTAAAACATGCATTTTCAAATATTGAATGAAATGCTTTTTGCAAAAAGGCTTTTGACCGCTTGACTGTACGAAGAAGCGATTACCTATGTAGTATTAATTGAACTAAATTTTATATACAAACTGTAGAATATGTTTTTTGTTGGTTTATTCTTCTTCATTCCTCTTTAAGAACACCTGATTTAAAATAACACTAGAACCTAGTGAGAACTATTGAGAATCCCCAGAATGGCTTAAATAGTCAAATTCACGCCTTAAAACCACAGAAACATACAATAAGGGCTATTTAACGGTCTGAATTTTTGGCAACTTATAAAGTTTCTGAACTCCTGGTCTAATAGAAATATTAATGAATGGATTTAACCGTTGAGATGCTCAGATTTCTAAAAACTCTACTTAAAATAGAAAAAACTGTACTTAAATCGAATTCCACGACAAAGTCTAGTTAAAATGTACAACGAGTTGAATTTTTGCTTTTTCAATTTATGTTCAAAAAGTGTCTTTTTCGGGTTGAAGTCATTTTTTGCAAACGCATGATTCTTTCCGATAAATCTGAAAATAAAGTTTTGACAAATGAATGTCACTTTTGCTCATCTAAAAATCACACGTTTCACCCTCAAGATCTAAAGCAGCTGAAAAAGTTTTCGAGTGAAGTTTTGGGTAAAATTTTTTAGAATCCAAGTTGTTTATTGCAAAGGTCCTTCAAAAAAATAGCCAGTTTTGTGAAATTTATATTTTTCCTGAATCAACAGATAAAACTGAAGTTTTAACGAATGATTATCAATATTAGTTTAATTGAAAAGTGTTTGTTTATTTTAAAAAATTTAATTTTGTTTATAAAAAATGTTCAAAGATTGCGAATTTTAAAAAAATTTAAGTTGCGTAACTGACCGCATTCGTGATTTACTTCGCAAGCTTGTTGGATTTAGAAGTTTAGATTTTTAGACACTGTAACAGAATGTATTTAATAACGATATAAAAGAAAAGAGCACATTAAAAGCAAATATAAAATTGAAAATGCGCGCAACACAAAACTATACGTGTTTCACATTAAACAAATCTATTTATCATATATATATTTGAGTTTGCCGTTTGCTATTATACAATTTAACGCGCTTTTTATTTCAGGAAGATTTAAAATCATAAAAATTCTTTTGCCAGTAATAGCAATTCCAAATCAAATTGGAATTGGATTTGGAACTGAAACACAGTCAGAAAAGTATATACAATGAAGTAATATCAATAGAAATGTTAATAAACCTTCCAGCATTTTCAAGACTTGAACATCAATATAAACAACGGGTTAAACAGACATCGATCTTTAACAACATTTTTATTGCAAAATCTAACAACAGGCATCCAATTCTTACAAATGTTTGCAAAAAACAATAAAAAATTTACATTTATTTGCAGAAAGAAGTTCTCTATTGATCAGCTTGTCCTTCCCACAGAGAAATGTCAACTTTAATACAGACGTTTTGTGCGAAATGCTGCAAACTTATTGATTTCGAAGCACTTCAGTAAAACTCTTGGCTTTCGCTTGAATAGTTAATAGTAATAAAAAAAACTTCTATTTGTTATTAATGCAGGCAGTGTTCTACTCAAATGCTTAGACCACCCCAAGTAAATAAAAAAGTAGATAGTAGATTTTTTTAAATTGTACACTAGAAAATAGATGAGAATGAGTAAGAAAAACCATGAATTTCTACTCAGGTGATTATTGAAGGCAAAAAAATTGCTCTTACTTTGACTTCTCGTAAATTCATGGCCTCATCCCAGCTATAGTATTTTCTCTTCATCTTCTTGATAGCCACTTTTTCGCCGGTGTCTTTCCTCTGGCCCAGCACTACCGATCCATAGGTTCCATCGCCCAATTGATGTAGAATGGTATACCTATTCATGTTCTACATTTGTTGAGCCGGATTCTTTGTCACTTTTGCAAAAAGCGAAGTTTTTCGCGATGACGTTCTCAGCATCGTGCACTTTACATTTGGCCCTATTTTCCCATTAAATCTGGCAAAGAGAGCGGCTCCAAAATGGATTGAACTGACGGGGTGTTTGGAGCTGAACTGGAGGAAAACTGGCCTCGATGACACATATTTCAATCAGCTTTGTTTGTATTGAATGAGTTTCCTTGGCTTTGTTGAGCGCTAGTCCAAGTGGAAATGTCATTGAATGGAATTTGAGTGAGACTTTTTAAGTAGAATTTCTACTTTTTGCTTGGATTCTTCAAGGAACGAGCTGAGGAATATTTTACAGGAAGTACTAAGAGTTATTTTGCAAATATGCATGGTTTTGTCGCTAGAAGCCTATTTGAAAAACACACTGACTTCAAACACATTGTTTTTAATTTCAAGCCATTTGATCAATGATCAATGATTTCACTGATTGTTTCGTTGAAACCTTCAAATAATTCATTCAAAATCATTTCATTGGTAGCTTCCTTCTTCTGTCTTTCCATCAACGTTTTGTTTTCCGAACTAATTTATATGCTTTCTGGGTCGAATACTGGCAAAATTCTACATCAACTCCTATACTATTGATTCAAATAAATAGATCAAGAACTGGCAGCATGTCGACTTAGGATCCCTTATATTCCAATCAAGCTTTCCGCTTGGAGGTTTTTTAAATACAAACAAGGAAATTCTAATCATTCTCTTTAATCGACATTACCTATAAATGGGGGAATGAACTAAAAGCGTGGGGTTTAAACAAACTTATTATAATTATTTTTTACCTCGCATGTATCTAAGGCCAATGATGAGCTAAAAATATAGGAACTGATTCAATAGCTTTTTGCCTGTTGTAAAATTTTTGTCGTAATTTATGGTTTTTCACGTGATCGAGATACTGTTTTTGGCCGCAGTTTTCGTTTCTAAAAATAAATAGAGTTACAGTTATGAAGTAATTATTAATGTTTATCTGCTGCTCTCATTTTGGTGTCTTTTGAATCATTAGATAATTTAATGTATTCATATGTAATTTAATTGACAAAAACAACATTAGCCCCAGAGAGACAACGCACTATATAAATTTGCAATTTTTTGTCTCGTCTCAGAAGGTGTTAGGAAAGAGTAGGCAACTGTATCTACTCCTATTTGCTCCTTAGTTTAATAGATTTCTTTAGCAGGATTGTTCGATTTAACTTATATCAATAAATTTGTATTTCGTGGGTTTCTGCAATGTGAATATCTGGTTTTCCTGACTGGGTCTATTTTGATTTTATTGATATTTCGAAAGCGCCTCATTTTCAGAGCTTTGCCTAGATGGAGTTGGGCGTTTAGATCGTTTTTCTTTGCATTGATTTTATTCTACAAGCGTACATTTTTGCATACGGTTGGTTGTTTAAAGCCCCTTTTCCTGTCTTCCTAGATGGACATACTTGTGACATGCATAAAAAAACTTTTAGAACTTTAATTTACCTTGAATGGAACCTGCTTAGTGTTTGGTTTTTTACAGGTTTTAACTAGCATTTTTCATTAGATATACTGTACCTTAATGTATGCAAAAGAGTGATATTAGAGGGCCGTAAACAAGTTTTTGTAGACCTTTGGGTACGTTAACTTATTTTTTTTGTTTGCCTTTGTACTTTTTTTACAATCTTTGTAGCTAAACAAGAGGAAGTGTCTGTTTTATACCTGAAGTAGTTCTCATTGTGCTATCTGGAGTTGTGCGTTTTAAAGCTAAAACCTACCAAAGCAAAGCAATTCGCCTTAATGAAGCGAAAAAGTGAATAAGGGATTCAATTGAAAAAGTTGGCACACATTATTGCTACCAGTGGCTGATGGTGCCACTAAAGACGCCTTGATGAATAAATAATACTTGGCTGGAATATCGTCATTCATTTAGCCAAAATTTAGGCAAACTATCAATCTGTAGTCTCAGAACTTCATGAAAATTCCAGAAAAAACTGATTATGACTGGGGCCGAATCTGGATCTGCCATTAAGGTATTGTTTGAAATACATTTCAAGCTATGAAAATCTAAAGTTTTATGAAAATTTGTCAAAATACTCTGAGGTCAGAACGTGTCAAGTAGATATTCCGTAGCTTACAATCATGCCAGCAAGGAAGCATTGAAAATTTGAATGTGTGTCTGTCATTTAGCCCCAAACTAATCCAAATTGCTTAAAATTTCATGAAAATTTAACAAAATTACTGCCTCCATACTGGCATTTAATTTAGTATAAAAAGTTTAATGCGTCGGATTCGTTTTATATATATATTTAATATTTCTTCGACGAGTAACGAGGGAGATTTTGGATTCTGTAATGGATTTTAGAATTTTTTTATTTCAATTTTATTCAACTAATTTAAAGTTAAATTTTGAACACTAACTAGCGGTTGTCCATGGCAGACGGTTTCTTATATGCCGTTTAACAGCTTAATGAGAGGTACACATTTATTTTCGTGCAAGTTATTTCTTTTTATCAATTATGGGGTTTTGTGTTATCAATTATATTCTAAAGTATTTCGATTCTTAATGGGAGTTGCTCATCTATAAACTTTAACTTTTCTTGCTCTGTTTTGCAGCTATTTTGATGGTCAGGGATATGTCACGTGAAATAGGAGTATTCTGTTGCGAATACAATGTTATTCATCTGTTCTATTAGTGTTTCTCTGTTGTAAATTTCAATTTTTGCGGTTTTTTAAATTAATAATACCCACGAATCCACACTAAAGTGTCTTAAGATATGCGATCTTTATATATTACTTTGGATAGGTCTACAGGCTAGCCCCTTCTTTTTGCCTCTTCTTTAACAGCCCCTAACTGTCCATTTCTGAACGTAGCCTCCCCTCTTCTCTCCCACTCCTTTCTGTTTTCGGCCACCTATTGCCATTTTCCCCACTTTTTTGGCGATGTGGTCGATCCATCTTCCTTGGGGTCTGCCGACGCTCCTCCTGTTTGCTCTTGGTCTCCATTGTGCTACTTGTTTTGTCCATCACGTTCGGATTTCCCGGGTTCTGATTTTTTCCTCGTCTTCTTCTTCTGAGGTACTCTTGGTGATATTGACTTTATGTTTGTTGTTAGATCTTTTAATTTCTCATATATTAATAATGTTATTCCGCCAATATATGTACTGTTTACGCTGTGCTGATATAATATTGGCCCTGTTTTGAGGGTTGTGATATTTTCCTCGAGT